CCCCCCGCCCCCTTTGGCTTCCCCCAGCCAGCCCACAAACCCGGCTGGGTACGGCTGCGGGGAGAGCGTCCCGGGGGCACACGGGTGCCACGGGGTAACCCCCAGGCCCTCCCCACCTGCCTCTTTTGGGGGCTGCCCTGCCCCAGGGAGCCCGGCTGCGCTCCAGGGCTGGGACGGGGATCCAGACGGGTTTGCCGTGCCCAGACCTGCTGTGGGGAATTGGCGGCCAAACATCAGTCCCAGCGATCAGGTGCTCCGGAGCCCCACGAAAGCCCACGGTGAGCCCCGGCTGCACCAGCACCGGTCTTCAGAGGGGAGCTGGGAAAACGGGAATGAAGGCCAGAGGAGCGGCCAGGGCCAAGAGCACAAACCAGCGGGGCAGAGGTCCTCCTCCTTCTCGCACACGCGAGGCCCCCTGGCCTCCTCTGCCGGGTTTGAGGAGGGGGTGCAAGTGGGTCTCCCTCAGCAGCGGTCATCATCCTTCTCAGCCCCATCCACGCCACCCGCCCCGGGCTTTTCAGGCCTCTCCGACCCGCGTGGCCCGAGTGCCGGAGTGGATATCCCAGCCACAGACAAAACTAGGGATGGGGGCCAGCGGTGGTACCACGACAGTCCTCCATCCTTTTCTCCTGGCTCAGCCCCAGTGCCTGTGCCCCCAAGCGTGGACTATCAGCAAGCCAGCGCTTATCCCAGTGCCGCCGGCCACTTTGTCGCCCACGGGCAAAATCACAGGCCCAACAGCAGTGGTGCAAACCCTCAGCAGAGCACCTCCAACGCGGCTTCACGCGGGCCAGTGACTTTGGATGCTCCCAAGACACCTTTCAGAGAGGGCCTAAGCACTCTGCAGTCTGACTCTGGACACCAGGAAAACTCCGGGGCGACGAAAGTAAAACTACCCTGCCAGACCCTCCTTTCACCACAGGAGCAAGGGCCGTCTGCCGCTGAATTAAAATTAGAAGCACTCACCCAGCGTCTGGAGCAGGAGATGGATGCTCGTCCAAAGGCCGATTACTTTGGTAAGTGTCATTGCAGAAAGGTGTAATTAAAAATTGTTATGAGTATGGTTCATGACTATGTATTGCAGGATTCACACCTTCAGGGCTGCGTTTCCCTGGTACTTTTATTTGGTTATCCTTTTTCAGTTACTCGCATGTTTTTATTCAAGATATTTGAATAGGAAGATGGCTTTCTAGACTGCTGAAGAATTGGATGGTGTCAAACCCTACATAAGGACCTACGGACTGGAGAGCGCGGTTCAGCTCAGAGGAAGCTGTGGTGGACTTCGCTTGACAGGAAACGCCCCAGAGCCTGTCGTAGTTGAACATACGGCACATTCCACATGTGGAAGGTGTAATGAAAATGCTGTCGTGACCAGGGTTCTGTGACTTGCATAGAAATTGCAGCTTGAGTAGGTTCTGAGGACCTAACCATGTGCAGTTGTGAATTTTCTTAAAAAGGTGTTGACTGAGGATGTAAAGGTTGTTCTTTTTTCAAACTGACGTGGATTTTCTCCCCCCACCCCAAGAGTCAGTTCCCGTCAAGCCTGAGCGGGTGAGTGGATCCTGAATACTTCCAGAAAACAGGCAATAGATACGCTCCGCTCTAAATCTCAGGTCCGCAAGTAATCCTGACCAGCACCAGATGTTAACGCTGGTAATTTATGATGAAAAGTGCCTGCTTACATGGGAGGATATCTGAATGAGAAAATTAAATGCCCTGCTGGCTTTAACTGATTTAGTGTCACAGAATGGCAAAAAGTCGATGGCGAATGGGGTGTTTTCTTTCCTTGTCTCTCGTGGCCACTTTGTACTGTAACAGCAGCGGAGATAGTTCAGCCGTTCAGTTTTCCAGGAAAAGGAAACCTGGTGTTGCTTTTGCTAGGAAGGATGAGAATTCCGCTGTTAATTTAAATAATGGCAGGAGCAGGTCTAGTATATGTTTTCCTCATGATTTTAGATCTGTAGTCACAAAACTAGAAGCAGGAATAGATTAAGCTCTTCAGCCTAAGGTAGAGAAACTGTTTGCATCTCAGACTGCATAGGTCCCATTGCATATAGTCCCTTTGCTTCCTGTCTGCTGTGATTGCCAAGTAAGCCAGCAGTGGTCTGCACATACACCAGTGACCCTTAGAAACTGCTGCTGCCTTGAACTTTACATTATGCTTCACTAATGTAGTTGAAGGGACCTCTAAGTAATTAGTTGCAAATTCCGTAGTAAAATATGTTTCCGACCGCCTCTGTAGTTGTGATATTCCCCTGCAGATGGCTTTGCTGTGATTACTTAGCTTAACATTTGAGATTGAATTTAGCCTTGTAACAGGGCAGATACGGTTTTACTTACTGCTGAACAGTGACCTGAAAAGTTGCTTTATTTGGATCATTTCAGCCTGGGAATGTGGTTTGATGCTTTATGTACTACGCAGGGAGCATGCAGCTTGAATGAGCTCAGAGAACCTCAGCCCAAGAGATGCTGCACTCTTTTGAAAAGGAGCTGATTAGGAACATGAGTTTGGGGAGGGAGGAATCATTTTGGAGATAGTGTTCAAAATCTGAATATTCTACTGTAGGTAGCCTTCTACTCCATGGGATAGGTTTCAGGAGTTCCCTCAACTTTATAACTCCTCTTCAACCCTTCAGTCCCTAGTACAAAGTGTGCATGGGAATGTGGTGAAAAAGCTGACAGGATGTAATTGGTGGTTAGATTATTTTTACATTTTAGTCACAAAATAAGTGGTAGCACCAGGGAGATGCTTTTATCCCTCAGGAAGTCTGCAATGAGGTAGTAGTAATCCTGGCCACATGGAAAGTCTTGCTGCACAGCCCACTGAATTACTTGAATCAGAAAGCTGGGGAGGGAGAAGAAATGGAGGCTGCCTAATTCCTCATGAGATCTTTGGGCATATTCCTGACAAGAGGTTTTATACCCATGTATGTTTAGTTCAGCTGCTGTGCAGCAATGTGTGGGAAAGGAGGAGAGTGAAGAAGGACAGGGAGAGTGAAAAATGCAATCATGATAAAGGAAGAAATAAAGTTTAGTAAAGTCTCGGCTCTGTGGAAGGAGACTCCGCAGACACCCTGCAGATGACCAAGGAAAAGGGGATAGTGTAGAGGTATTGTAATTCTGTGCCCCTCCCCCCTTCTTTCTATCTTTTATTTTCGTTTTTTCACTGTTACTCCAATTCACTTCCTTTGGAAGAATAAAGGACCAAGTTGATCTTTTACATCCATGTTTGCTAAGCTATGCCTTCAAGTTACTAAACTTCAACATGGCAAATAAATATTTGTATGTGATAGTGATAAAAAGGATCACCAGTTGTTTTTCTGCAGATGGTCCCCCCACATTTCTGTGAACTCTAATGCAGCAGCTTTGTAGTGCATCAGAGCCAGGAAGTGAAACTAGGATTGAAGTGCAAATGACCAAACTGTTTTATCTAAAATGCTTTCAGCTCTCCTGATCTTGGGTGCTGCTCTTGTGACAAATAGATTTAATTTTTTTTTTAAGATAGAGCTATGTATCTTAGTAAGGCTTGGTCTTTCATTCTGTCTCTGCTTGGACTCAATATTAATCCTGAGCAATTCTGAACCCAGTAAAGGAGCTGTTTTTTCCTTCACTGTGTGAAAACAAATGTTTGTAAAACCTAAGAAAGGATAGACTAGGGACTAAACATAATGTAGGTAGGACGCTCTGTTGAAGAGTAACAGACAGTCTGGCTATCTGTCAGCACGAGCTCACTGTACACAATACATCTGTCTGCTCAGAGTGTGTATGATAAGTGAAAGGAAAGAAGCAAACAAAGCCAAGAATTTTCTGTGTTTTTAATCATGGCATATGTGTGAGCAATATGGGATAAATCATGTCTACTGCATGTGTCTCTAAAGGAATTTGGGTTCTCCAAGAATGCTTTTGAAGTGCTGTCTTGATTTATGTGGGCTTTTGGAGGTGGACATAGCGAGTCTCAGGTATTACCCAGGTTTTTGTGCTTGGAGAGGGAAATTCTTAAATTGCTCTTTGAAGAAGCATATTCCCACTGCAGTAGAGAAAGGGCCCCAGATCCCTGGGAGGTGCCTCTGGAAACCAGCTTTGATTGTATTCAAGTTTTTGGTGTACAGTTTCCAGGGAACATCCAAGAACGAGGTGTCTGAATCCCACTGATTTTCCATGGTTGCCTGAATTCCTTATGCTTCTTTGGATGTACCAGCCTTGATTTCCATGCAGTGAATGTGAAGATTAATTAAATAGGAGTGTCTGGGGAAGTTGTCAGTCCTGCACCAGCACCACCCAGGGCAATGCAAATGTTTCCAGTTAAGATGAAGTGGTGCCATCCCAAGGACTAGCAAGGGACTAGTTTTCAGGTGAGAGTTGAGCAGGTGCACAACTAAATTGAGCGTCAGCCTGGACCGAGTAGAAGTAACCTAATACAGGAATGTGGTTCGTGCTTGTGCAGGCCTGACTGTGAGGCAAGCAAGGGCTGTAGAAGTTTTACCATTCACTTTAGCAGAACAGGATCAACCCGGTGGTGCAATACAGTTCCTTGATCTGCAGGCACAGATTGAAATTTTTACATGTGTAATGTAGAGAATCACGTTTTTTTTTTACCAGTGCTTCTTTCATATAGATAGATGGAAATCTCAGTCTGATAAAGACTAACTACACTGTTACCAGGAGCTTCTTAAAACAATTTTCATAGCTGTGTTTCTTGTTATAAGTATGTGTTAGGTGTTAAGTTCTTGCTTCCTTCCTTACTCCTTAGAGTAGAGCTGATAAGCTGCAGGTATTTTAGGAGGGGCCCCAGGCATCTTGTTTTGCAGCTAAATGCTGAGATGCTTCCCAGCAGTCAAACAGAGAAGATCTCATCAAGTTTTCCGATTTCTTTTCCCCTTCACAGCAGCAGAAGTGCAGGTGGATCAGTTAACCCCAGCTGAGGCAAGGAACCCTAGCACATATGAATGGGTATAATTAACTCAAAGGCCAGTGGCGCTTTGTTTCAAAGTCTTATACATAGAGAAGTGAGCATGTTACCACTGCTGAGACAGCAATCAATGTGACTTTAAGGCTGTACATGCCTGCGGACCTTACCAAACCCTACTGATGACCATGCACCAAAGGGTAATTTCAGGACTGCGGAGTGGAGAATTTTCTGGTCGAAATTAGAGTTTTTTCTGAGGTTTGTTCTCTACCTGGGGTGATGATAACAGCATCTTTTCCATTGGGAACAAGTGAGCACATTGCTCTCTGCATGTTTTTGGGAGAAGGCGGCAGCTGGAAGGAGACCTGTGTGCAGCGGAGAGGAGGCAGGCAGGGAGAGGGGAGTTGTGGTGTAGGGGGGGGAAGCTGGAAGGATCGCAGCACGTGGGTTAGTGCATGTGTACAGAATGCAAAGCTTATCTCACTGCAAGGAAGCAAGCAAGTAAATATTTGTCTGGGATATGGCTCTTTAAGATTAAAGCGGTATATGCTTCTCTTCCCCCGCGGGGCTCTTGGAAGCTCAGCTGGATTTGCAAGTTAAGAAAAAATCCACTCTAAAAGGAGAGAAAAAGAAAGGAGCGCAGGCAGAGGATCAGTAGGTCTTTCAGGCAGAAGACCATTGCAGTGGAGACTGAAAGTAACAAGGAACCTGACTCATTTGGCACTGGAGTTAACATAATCTCTTTTATCACTGTAAGGTACTTAAAATGTCACTGACGTGAGCCTGATGGCATTTTACACTTCACTGGTACTGTGTACATGACTGTCTGCAATGCAGCAAAGTTGAGAGGTCAAGAATGTTTCGCACAAAAAAGAGTACCGAAAAATTGCATGTATCAACTCTTAATTCTTTGGGCAGAGAAATACCTGCACATCTTTGCTGTCATTGAGTTACAGTATGGGGTTGATATGAATGATATTGAGTGATGAATGGAGTCAGATTGCCACGTTTTCCGGGCACTCGATGTTCACACAGGTGTACACATCTACTTGAAATCAACTGTTTGGAACTGTGGTTGCACAGTAATGGATAGCAGATCACCAAGGTACA